TTTTTTTCTTCATCTTGTCCTTGATTTTGCAATATCTCTGGGCCCAAGTCCAAATTTTTCTATGTTTGTTTCTCAGATGATCTCATCCAGTCTTTAAAATAAAGCATATTTTAATGATTCTCAAATTCCTGTGTCTAGCTTGACTAAATCCTTCATTGTCCTGAATCAAGTTGCCTTCTAGACATCTCCACCTACATAACCAATAAACAAAGTGCCCTAAACTTACAGATTTATACAATTCTCAAATCCACCTTCTCCCCCAGCCTTCCCCAGATAAAACATGTCATTGTCCTTCTTCCCATTTCTCAACCCACAAATTTGAATTTGTCTATAACCTTCCTCTTTCTCTCACCTACAATATATCAGCAAATATGTTAGCCTCTATACATGCAGAATATTTCATACAGACCCCTTATTACACTTCCTCCAATGTCACCTTCATCCAAACCATTCTCATCACTTGCCGTTACTATTTCAGTATTTTTCTCTTTGCTGCTTCCATCCTGGCTTCTCAGAGAAGACGGAGGGATAGTTTCAAGTCAGATTGTCAGTGTCCACACAAAACCTTCCCATGCCTTTGTGTCTGCTCAGGAAAGTTCCAAATTCCCTTTGGTCTTCTATATGGGATGGCTCCCTACTTCTTTTACTTCACCTACTCTCTCAAGCTCATCATGCCCACAACCACCACCCTGCAGTGGTCACACTGGCTTCTATGTTGTTCCCTGAGCTTACAACCATGCTTCTATCAAAAATCTTTTGAGCTTACAGTTTTCCTCTGCAGTTACCCTCTATCTACACAGCTCATTAAATCCTTTATATTTTCACTTGCATGTATTTTATATGTCTTCCCTTACTACTGTTATTTCTCTCCTTACTCTTCTTTCTTTTCCTTCATTGTACTTATTTTTACTATGTATTAGATACTTAAGCATTTATTATATCTCCCCAGTAATGTGTAAGTTCCATAATTGCAGGATTTATATTTGTGGGCTTTGGTCATTGTGGTGGTGGTGGTTGTTGTTTTGTTTTGTTTTGTTTTCCCACTGCTGTCCTCATCACCATCTGAGAGTGCAGAACGGTGACTACCCAATTTTAGATTCTCAGTAAACATTTATTGATTTCAGGGACCATAAGAATGCTTTGTTAACACAAATGGAAGAATAAAACATCTTTAAAGCAAATCAAAGGGAAGAATCCTTCCATTTTATTTTAAAATGCCACTAGGAGTATGCCACCAATTTAGTGATAAAGAAGTAATTACATAGATTACCCTGAGCTCACATAGTCTGTGGCTCAGTTAAAAAATCAGCATTCTAGACACTTTATTTAAAGGAAAACTGTTTCTCCTAAGCAGTCATTCACAATTTGAGAATTTTTGCTCTCAGGAGACAAAATATGGAAATGAACCTGAATCTAATGAATATTAGCATACTTGCATGTAAAATTTTATCATCTTTGAATAATATTTTAAATATGCCTCTTCATAACAAGCATAATTAATTGCATTTAAATAATGACTCATTATCAAAGGTCTAAAGTTTTTATGTCTAGATTAGTTTAATTCTCTTATTTATGTTTTATTGAATGTTTATTTTTTTCTGTACTGTAGATTATTGTTTACTGTAAAATATTTCCATTTCCCTTGGGCCTGATAATGCATTCAAGTAAACTGTTTAGGAGCACACAATAATGACTTCTTAAGATAATGTTCCTTCACAAAAGTAGTATCTTGCCAGGTACTTAGAATTTGTAGGATTATACAAGCAGAAATGTTTTTGTTTTATAAGATGTGTTTGATTCTACTCTCTAAGTTCCACTTATCTCCTTTCAATATCTGCTTTCCAGAGAGTTATGCAAGATTTATGGAGATATTAAATCTGAAAGTTAAAAAAGAAAAAAATGTAAATGTGAGTCTTGAGTTGACTTTAGAAGAGATATATTGCTTATTAGAAACATGCAGGAAACAATGATAGGGGGTCGGGTTGTAAATCCCAGGTTAATTCCACTATTCAACATGCTATGAAGCCAATGTGTGTAAATGGACTTTTTTATAAAGCATTATGAATTTATGATTTTTAGCATTAGTAAATTTAAAAGCATTAATGTTAAAAAACATGATGTTGCCTTTTATTATGAAAGCAAAATAATTCTTCTCTATTACAATCCTAAATAGATCTTATCCCTACATCTTTGATTTGATTTCTTAAAAATCTCTGCCATATGTTTTATTGTACAATCAGAAGTAAACCTCAAATGTTGAAACTATTAACTAAGAAATTAGAATTCACAGATATTTTAAATGATCTAAGAAATACCATCTTAAGTGGTAAAATCAATATGTATTTTGGTTCATTAGCAAAATACATAACAAGTTTATTTCTAGCGTCTCTTCAGTCTCTCTGTTTAGCCAGTCTGTGTTGTGATGCCTGGCCTGAAGCACTTCTATTTTTAGTTTTAATAGAACAGTCTTAAATTGCTTATTTTCTGTTTATTAAAGTCATCTCGTTTGTTACCATGGATACTATGACAAGAGTTCTAGCTATTTTACTAAATGAATTGAAGATATAGTTTAAGACTGGGATGATGCAACATGTCATTCTTAAAAATACTTTCTAACATTTGTAAACATGTGGCCATATTTATAGAAAATATACAATTAATTATAAATAAGGTCTAATACATTTTAAATTTGGGAGGCTATCTAAATTTAATAAACTGATTCATAACTAGTGCATGAATATCCCTTATTTAGAAAAATCTGTAAATCACTTCATTAAAACTAGAACATGTTCACTCATTAAAAGCAGTTTCATAAGTAACAGTTAGATTTCCAAACCCATCCTCAAAAATCCTTCAATCTGTGATGTCTATTAGAAATAGCTTTTGTTAACAGCTCTGGCAGCAGGAGCTACAAGCAGAGATGAGATGGAAAGAATTTTCTCATATTTCTTTCATTTATAATAGATGACACATATGACACCATTTTGATAAACTAATATCTACTGGTCTTGCAAGTGTTAGGGCTCCCAGCTACATTATTCTGCTTCATCCATACCCTTGTCTCCAGCCTATGGGTGCCCTCTCACTTTCTTGCGTCTCCTGAAATGTAATGCCAAATCCACCCACCTCCTCAAAGCCTGCTTCTGCCTCTTCAGTGAACCATGACCATTCTTAAGATTCAAGACTGGGGAACCTCTCTGTGGCACAGCAGGTTAAAGTGCAGCACTGCAAGCTGCCCACAGTGCAGTTGGATCCTGCCTCGAAGGTGACTCACATGGCACAGCAGACCTCTCCTGCCTTGCCGGTTGCTCCCCTCAGCAGTGTACTTTGTCTCTATCTCTAGTTAGTCCTCTCACCACTCCTGCACTTCTGGCCTGTACCCCAGTTCTGTATGAATAAATGCATAAATAAATAAATCTTTTTTTTTTAAGATTTATTTGTGCATACAGAACTGGGGTACAGGCCAAGGTCTGGGACAGTGAGAGGGTTCACCAGAGAGAGAAGGGGGAGCAGAACTGGCAGATCAACGAAGTGCACTGCTGAGGGGAGCAACAGGCCGGTCAGGAGAGGTCTGCTGCACCATGTGGTCACTTCTGGGCCAGGCAGGGATCGAACTCATGCAGAAGTGGCTTTAGCTTCTTAGTGCAGTGCTTTAACCCGTTGTGCCACCAGGGAGGGCCAAATAAATAAATCTTAAAAACAAAACAACAACAACAAAAAAGCAATCAAAATAAACACTATTGCATGAATGACTGAAAACTCTAACAGAATACTAAATGCACTACTTCTGAATCAAAGCAAATCCCTAATCTGATTTCCATTACCTTAAGTAAAGAAAATATTCAGAAGTGAGCAAGTTGCTTTGAGCGCATATGCAATTTTAAAAGTCATCTCTTAAGAATTTAGATTTTGAAGCAGTCAGATTCTTAACTGTATTCTTTATATCTTTAATCTTGGGTATTGTCTTTGATGATGGTGATGGTAGTTAATTGTAATCTGTATCATCTTTTTGTTCACTTTATTTCTAGATGATTTGAATAAAATGGGCCTTATTAATTCTACAATTGTACTTTTAGAAGATTGTCATGCTACTGGTTGAAAATCATAATTGTGCAATAGACATGAAATTTTGTTGATGCTTTCTAACAAATTATAAATCAAAACACTGTGATTTGTTCTTTGTGAACTTGTACAAAAAGGGAAAGAATTATATGAACATATTTAAGACAGAATCAATAATTTCCTACTTTATGTCCAAAAAATTAAAGGGAAAAAATTTACTTAATTCTAAAGTCAAGAAGAGACAAAGTGAGATGTCTTTTTGCTTACACAGCTATAATTTATAGAAATCCTGTAAATAAAGCTATATAAGGAAAAGCTAAGAGGTTTTTTAGAGAAAATTAAAGAATGTTTTATTTCCCATGCTAATCATTAGAGTGGTAGATGTAAAATCAAGTGAGATTTGATATTCTATAACCTAGTAACTGATTTTTTTAAAGATTTATTTATGCATTCTGAACTGGGGTACAGGTTAGAGGTGCAGGGGTGTTGAGAGGATATATCAGAGACAGAGTGGGGAGCAGAACAGGCCAACTGATGAAGTATACTGCTGAGGGGAGCAGCAGGCGGGTCAGGAGAAGTCTGTTGTGCCTGTGGATCACCTCTGGGGCAGGGATCGAACTCATGCCGAAGAGGCTTTAGTTTCTTAGTGCTTTGCTTTAACCAGCTGTGCCCCAGGGAGAGCCTGTAACTGATTTTTTTATACAGACTTTGTGGAAAGTTTGTACATGTTTTACGTAATCTATGCAAAAAATATAAAAAACAAACTATTTTCTACTGAATTTCAGTGATTAAGTTAGAAAATTCTAGAAACTCTTAATTTAGAATGGTATTGTTGATGCTGACACTTCAAAATGGAAACACATGTTTGACCTAACATTTATTTTTCATCTCTGTAGGATCCACTTTCATTTGTAACACTCACATAATTCCAGTGAAAAACCAAGAGGGAGTGGCTATGATGTTCATCATCAATTTTGAATATGTGACAGATGAAGAAAATGCTGCCTCCCCAGAGAGGGCTAACCCAATATTACCAGTCAAAAGTGTAAACCGTAAGTAAAAGACAGTGTACAAAATGTTTCTGATATTTTGCTACTATAATAATTTCAATGTATTATTCATTTCAAATCAATCCTCAAAATATGTTCACACTTTAAATAAAATGACTTTATAATATAAAAGCCATAGCAGATACTAACTTTTAGTGCTTTACAGAATTGAACTGTTTTAAAAACCATTTAATGCAGCTATATCATAGTTAATGCAACCAGTCCTCAGTAATAAACATGTAGGTTGTTTCCATGCAGAAAGAATTGTGCAAATATGTTTTCATAGCATAGGAGTATTTGTATATTCTTGAACAGAATATCTTCAGGGTGAGATTCCTAGCTCAAAGGATAAATACATATGTAATATATGTTTGATATTGTCGAATTCCTCTGTATAGTATTTGAACCATTTTGTAATGTCCTCAAAGCCATGCAAGCTGAATGAGTCAGTCTTCTGATCTTTATCCTTATTATAGTTGAGAAGTAGTGCATCAATTAGTTAAAGTTTACATTTCTCTGAGTATGAGTGAGGCTCATATGTTTTAAACATTCTGAGCTTAGTCTGTTAGCTGTCCATTTGGTGGATACATTATCGGTTTTTGTCATTGTTTTTCAAACTGTAGGATAAGTTGCAAGTCACTTCCCCAGCAATTAATTTGTCTTATCTCTTTTATGATTTTTACAATTACTGAGTCATAATTGGAAAACTTTTTACCACTTTAAGGTTGTAAATAAATTTCCCCCCCTAGCACTTGTATGGTTTTATTGTTGGGGTCTCTGACTATAGTTCATTTTATAGTGTAAAACATGAATGTACTTTTTTATCAGTAACTATACAGTTGTCTAACATCATTTATTGAAAAAGTCTGTCACATACTAAAGAGATGCCACCTTTATCACATACTAGACTTCTTCATGTGCTTAAATCTATTTCTGGACATTCTATTCTGTTGGTCTATTTATCCTTCAGAATCACACTATTTAAAGAAGACAGTCCTTTTAGCACCTTTCATCTAGCTTAATGTTGAAAATTCTTTTAGATTTTACTTTTTGATGAAGCACTTTATTCTTCTATAAAGAATGATCATTTTGTCAGGTAAAATATTCTAGATTGGGAGTCTTTGTTTTTGAGTACTTTAGGTATCTCTTGCCAATCATTTCTTAGCTGTAAATTTTCTTTTGAAATACCTGTGGACAGTCTGGTTGGCATTTCCTGATTGGTTACTTTTTTTTTTTTTCTTTCAATGAGTATTTGGTCCATGTCATTAGCTCTTTTTAATTTTATTTTAATGTGTCTGCCTGTCATTTTGTTTGGGATTCTCTGGATCTCCTGAATCAGGATATATGGTTCATTTCCCAGACTGAGATCATTCTCAGTAATTATTTCTTTTTTTTTTTTTTTTTTAAAGATTTATTTATTTGTGCATACAGAACTGGGGTACAGACCAGAGGCTCAGAGGGTGAGAGGATTCACCAGAGACAGAGTGGGGAACAGAACAGGCAGATTGACAAAGTACACTGCTGAGGGGAGCAGCGGGCGGGTCAGGAGAGGTCTGCCACGCCATGTGGTCACCTCCGGGGCAGGCGGGAATCGAACTCATGCGAAAGCGGCTTTAGATTCTCAGTGCTGTGCTTTAACCCGCTGCACCACCAGGGAGGGCCAGTAATTATTTCTTTAAGTAATTTATCTGTGCTTTTTCTTCCACTTTTCCTTCTGGAACCCTATAATATGAGTGTCATTTCTCTTTAGGTTATTCCAAAAAGCTCTGACACAACTGTGCGTTCAAGCTCATTCATTCTCTTATTACTTACTTTTGTCTATTGTTGAGGACCAATATTGTACTTTATAATTCAATTATAATATTTTTAGATCCATTAGTTCTAGTTGTAATAATCTCATATTTTCCCATTTTTTGTTGTGTTCCTGTTTAACTTAACTCAGCAAACATGGTAATAATCACTCCTCTTCAGGCATATCTTGGAGTTCTGCTAAACTGATATTTCTTTTGAGATTTTTTTTCCCCAGCATTTGTGATATATTCTATTTTTTTCTCTCTCTTTTTTATGGATGTAATAGGCAATTTCCTTTTCTTATCGTAATAAGTAGACTTTATACATCTCCAATAAGAAGCTGGTATTATCCTAGATTTAGGATATTTAGGTATCTGTTATTTCATAGACTGATACCTTTGTACCTCTCAAATGGCTGTGGCACTGGTGCTGATCAGGGACAATAAGCAGAAAGAACAGGTGCAGTAAGGCACCAAACTTTCACTTCCAGGGAGCCTCAAGATTTCAAGCTTCCTATAGTACTATGAATTGTGTTATCACCTTCAGTTATCCCCTTGCCTAGACTAATACCTCAGTCAAAATGTTGTGAATAAATCTTGTCTCCCTTAATTGCTAGGCTGTGGTTAAGCAATAAATGTCGTGGTGGATGAGGACAGTAGATGAGACAGGGACACAGGTTGGGAATTATTCTCTGTGATTTTAAGTACAGAGTCTTACCCTGAGGCATATGCTCCTGTTAACATCCAGATTTAGTAAGCTCTAGTTGGTGAGAACATTCAGTTGAATTGTTGTCTTGGTTTAGGCCTCATTTGGGGATAAGGCAGGTGTTTTGAACATCACAGACTGAAACTGAAAATGGGAGCCTTTTACAGGAAGAAGGGCAGTGATAAAATCTGGCTCTCACAGCTGTTTGGATCCAACTGTTTTAAATTGGTAGCCTTCTACTGAACATAGTGATCATCCCTCTATACCCTACTACGATATTTCTCCAGAAGTGCATCTCTGTCCTACTCTCCAACTCTCTGCAGCCCCTTCTCCAGTGGTATACCAGGTCTCCAAAGTCTCTGATGTGACATGTGCCCCTGGCTCTCTCTCTATAGGAGACATAAACCATACAGCTACCTCCCCTTCCTCTTGTGTATTGTGCTGCCTGAATATCACTACTTTTTTTTTTAATATTTATTTATTTATGCTTACAGGCCAGAGGTGCAGAGATGGTGAGAGGCTTCACCAGAGACAGAGTGGGGTGCAGAACAGGCTAACTGATGAAGTACACTGCTGAGGGGAGCAGTGGGCGGGTCAGGAGAGGTCTGCCACACCATGTGGATCACCTCCGGTGCAGGGATCAAACTCATGCTGAAGTGGCTTTAGCTTCTTAGTGCTGTGCTTTAACATGTTGTGCTACCAGGGAGGACCCCTGAGTATCACTACTAACCACTCTAATTATAATTTTCCTACTCCTTTCTGATTCAGTGTTATTCCTATTATAAGTGATAGTAGTACATTTATCTTTCAAGGTAGTTGATTTGTTTCAGTGTAATTTAGTTATGAATATATAGAGGAGGTGTACCTGATGTGTTCATTTTTTTTTTTTTTGTCATTTTTCTGGACTCCAGTAACTCATCTTTATCCATTAATCAGTTGTTAGGTGCCTCAGTTATTTCCAGTTCTTGCCTATTGTAAATAATGAGGCAATAAATACAGAGGTACAAATAATGCTTTGAAATAATGTTTTTTTGTTTTGTTTTCCTATGTGAGATATTTGACTTTTTATTTTTATTTATTTATTATTATTAATGATATATCCTTATTTTAAATCCTTGTTTGTTTTCTCTCAATATAGAATATCTCCTCTCAGGTGTGGTCTCCATAGTCAAAATAACATTTTTGTACTTTGAGAGTAAATATATAGAAGTGGTATAACTGGGTAGTATAGAATTTCCATTTTTATTTTTGAGGAAACTCCATTTAATAATGGCTACACCAATTTACATTCCCATCAACAGTGTATAAAGGTTCCTTTTTCTCTATGCTCACTTCAAGAATTGTCTCTTGTCTTTTGGTTCCTATCTATTCACACACATGTGAGTAATATCTCAATGCTATTTTGATTTCCATTTATCCATATCATATCATCTCTAATAATAAGAGGTGATGAATATCTCTTTTATGTACCTTTTGGCCATCTTTATGTTTTCTTTGAAGAAGTGTCTACTTAGCTCTTCTGCCTATTATTTTAAAGATTTATTTATTTATTTATTTATTTATGTATACATGAACTTGTAGGCCAGAGGTGTAGGGAGTGAGAAGATTCACCAGAGACAGAATAGGGAGCAGAACAGGCAGATCTACTGAAATACATTGCTGAGGGGAGCAGTGAGTGAGGTAGGCCATGTAGGCTAGCTCCTTGACTGATGATCAAGCTCATGCCACAGTGGCTGGAAATAGCTTGATAGAACTGAGACTTTAACGAACCCTGTACCACCAGTAAGGCCCATCATCAGCCTGTTTTTTGATTGTTGATTTTAGCTTCTGGTTTTTGTTTTTGGTTTTGGTCTGTGTTAGGTATTTAGCCATTATCAGAGGTAATATTGGCAATTATCTCCTCCCATTCAGCAGGATGCCTTTTCGTTTTAATATTTCTTTTACTTGAAGAAACGTTTTTAATTTGATGAAGTCCCATTTGCCTATTCTTTCCTTTGCTTCCATGTTGTAAGGGTCAAATCTCCAAATGCCCTGGAGATAATTACCAATGTTTTCTTCTATGTATTTTATGATTTCAGGTCTTACATGTAGGTCTTTAATCCACTTTGAATTAATTTTTGCTTTGTGCTAGACAGAGATTTAGTTTCATTGTTTTTGTATGTTGTTGTTCAGTTTTTCTAACACCATTTATTGAAGAGAATTATCTTCCTTTATTGACAGTCTTGGCTCTTTTGTTGTAAATTAGTTGTCCATATGTTTGTGTTTTTATTTCTGGGCTCTTCTGTTTTTATTCCTATTCCATGCTATTTATATTACTCTCACTTTGAGGAATAATATAAAGTTAGGGAAGGTGATATCTCCCCTTTGTTCCTTTTTTTCCTCAGGAATGTCTTTACTATTTGGAAGTCTTTTGTAGAAAAGACATTTTGTAATTATTTTGTGCTATAAACTTATTGCTTTATCTGGGTTTAAAATATCTGGTTTATTGTCCTATGCACATAAAATGA